AATAAATAAAATGAACAACAAAGGGATTAATAGCAAGGTGTTAAAGGGAAAAGTGATTTAATGAGAGAACTCTTGAAAAGGATGTTTTAAAAAAAGCTGATGTTGAAACAGGAACAGGGAGCATGCTGGTAATTTATCGCCGAGCCCTTGTGTTCAGACTCAAGGGTGTGCAGCAAAACACAGGATCTGCGGTATGTGTGTTTTAGAGAGAGAGAGAGAGAGAGAGAGAGAGAAGATCGGCGGGTGAATCAGCCAGTGGGAGGAGAAAGAGACAGAGAGACAACGAGAAAGAAGGAGGGAAGGGAAGAGGAAGAAGGAGGAGAGGGGAGGGTGAATGAGCCATGGGGGGTAGAGTGAGCAAACCAGTGACTGAGTGAGAGGCTGAGGGAGGAGAGAGAGAGAGGAGGAGGAGGAGGGATGTTGCTGCTGCTGTTCCTCCTGTCAGTCGGCTGCTGCTTGCCTGGTAAGCAGGAGGGAGCACAGAGGAGGAGACAGAGGCTGGTCACTGCTGCGTTTCGCTCCTGCAGCGCTATTGTCATCTCTGTGGCACAGGGAGCCACAGACGCGCTGTGAAAGAGTGGATTTACAGAGAGACACTGATCTGCAGATCCATGGATTACCAGCAGTGAGTAAGGGTGACTGCCACACTGCCACTCCACTAACCAACTCGTCATTTTCAGCAGAGGGGTGAACCCACAGCCTCACACAGTGGGGAGTCTGGCTCAGTCTGGACCCAGTGGAGACAGAGAGAACGAACCAGACAGTGCTGTTGTTTTTAACTCCATCTCTCATTCTCACCTCTCCATCCGTTTCTTTCAGTCTGCTCGCTTGTATTTCACAGTGTGCCACTGATTCTTTTGCTTGGCTCTCTGCAGGGGGGATGCTGGAGGCTAATGTGGCTAACATTAGCATGACGGCGAAGCCCAGAGAGCTGAACCTCAGGTCTGCTGCTGCCGTCTCCTGCCAGGATACTTCAGCCCAGGCCATGGCCTCTAGGAAGCCCCCGCCCAAGCCCTCCGCTCTGCCCCAGGGTCCTTCACGTCCCTCCGGGTCAGAGCTCAAAGTCTACCGGCCCTCCTCTGGATCTATCCCAATTCCAATCCCCAATCCTTCTGGCCTCCGCAAGCAGCGATCACTCAACAACTTGTGTGTGCTCACTGATGCTGAGAAGAAGCTGCACCTGTACCAGTCTCCACGGTGGAATGATCTTACAAACCGGCCTGGCGCTGGCGCCAACAAGGCAGGACAGACTAAAACAGGTCCGGCTGGGGGTGGGAGACCTCCGCTCTCTCGGACCCTTTCAAAGTCAGAACAATCTCTTTTCCAGGGAAAACCCAAACCACTCTGCTCGCCAGCAGTCACTTCCAACACCGGCAAGCCGAGTCGAATCCCTGCCCCTGGTAAACCACGGGGACCTTACGCTGAGGTCAAGCCCATCAGCAAGGCCTCTGAGGTGGGACAGAGTGCAGACATAGACCCCTCTGACAACCAAATTAAAGCTAACTCCAATGGAGCCGGGAGCACCGGGACTAATGGCAAGAAACCAGGGGAGAAGGTGAGATCTGCCTCCCCCTCGACAGAGGACAAGAAAGAGAGGAAAGGGATAGAGGGGGAAGATGACAAGAGCTTTCTGAAGGTGGACCCAGAATTGGTGGTGACGGTGCTTGGAGACTTGGAGCAATTACTCTTCAGCCAAATCCTCGGTGAGTCCATGATCACTACCCAATCCTGCTTGACAACATACAGGTGCAAATCGTACTGTACATCAAGTCGAAACACATTGAGTAACATAAACATCCTCTCTGCTCTCCACACCCAAACTGTTCCCTCCAGCTCTGGACCTAAAGCATCAACAGTGAATTTTAAATGAGTTGAGTCTCTATTGCAGCAGAGCAAAATGTCAGTGTGTTTTTCTAAGTGCTACTCACCAGACGATGGAGAGAGACTCCTGCTCTGTAGGTGGCAATAACCTCTCTGCTTTCTTTGTGGCAAACAAATGTGCTTCGTCCATATGAGCAAATCGATTTTTGATGTACGTATTTGCTCAGATTTGTGTGTGTGTGTGTGTGTGTGTGAACTAGCATTGTGTGCTCCCATGAATCAGCTGAAGCAAGCGCAAGGCTGAAATTGTTTTGTCGTTGAATCATTAGCTAGTGCTGGAGTGTTTTTGTCCCAGTCTCATCTGACCCACTGCCACAGTGAGCTAGATATAGATTAACCGATTCAATACCTCCCTCTTTTTTCACATTTTCTCTCTTTTTCTTTCTCACAATCACTTCTACACCCACAGCTCTGTCCATCCGTCAGTCCCCACATGTGTGTGTCTATGTTTGTTTGTATTTGAGACTCCATGTTTCCCATCAGTGCTGCAGTCCTAGCATCTCCAGGCTCATACCAGAGTCAGCCATTCGTTAATAAAGGCCGTGTGAGCGGCACTCGTGGGGTGTGTGTGTGTTTTCTCTCGGTAAATAAATCGGCTGCATATTGAGCCAGGCTGCGGGTCACAGTGGGCCACATATTTAGCCTCGCTCCACACCCTCACCCCTTCCTCCCCCTCCTCTCTTGTCCCATTGATCTCTGGGACGCTGACAGATGGTCACTATCCACCACCACCTCCCCACCTCCTCTGCCTGTTACCGGGGGCAACGTGTGGGAGAAGAGCAGGGAATCTGGGGGGGTGGTGGCATGGACAGGTAGTTAGTGAGCTAACATGCACACACACACACACATACCTTTATAAACACTTGTGTCACACACACATGCCACACACACATGTCCCACACACAGGTCACACTTTATCGCCAAAGTTGTTGTCACTGGGTTTGTATTTGGAGAATAGAGGCAGATTTTGTGTTCTGGTCAAACCAGTGTCTGAATCTGCACCTTTCATCCATTATTCATCCTATGTTTCTCTCTCTCCATATTGCTCATTCTCTCTCTAAACCTCCCTCTCGGCAGAAAGCAGATAGCATCAGAGAGCGAGGGAGATGACGAGTCATTATATCTGATTGATATAAAGAAATCATTTTCTGTCTAACATCATCCCACTGTTTGTCTTCTGTCTTTCCCTCTCAAGTTATTTCTCTCTCTGTCTCTTTCTTTCCCTCTTCGCCAGCTTGCCTCCCACAACTCAGCCCCAGATCACAGCTTGTATGACCTTGCCCCCACAGTTTTTAGAGTGTGTGTTTGTACTGTACATGGTGTGTGTGTGCGAGCGTGTGTGTGCGCGCGCGTGCACGTGTGTGACCTTGTTCCACAGCTTGTTGTGATGTTGCTGGCCACACCTACGTCAGGCAGCCAGGTAGGGAGTAGAGGGGAAAAACAGACAGACTAAAAATAGAGGAAGAAAAACAGAAAATACATTTATTGAGGAAAAGTGAAAGGGCAGGGCATCATTAACAGAACAAGATAAATGTGAAAGAAAGAGAGAGAAAGAGACAGAGACAGACTCCAAGAGAGACTGGAGTAGAATAAAGGTAAAAGCCGGTGACCTAAATTTCTAGCATCCCTTGTGACCGGCGGTAGCTTTGGGTCATCACAGTCTACCAAAACCTGCCAGAGGTTTATCATAGAAACCTGTGTGTTTTGTGTGTGTGTGTTTGGGACAGGTTAATTGTAGCTTGCCCTCTAGCTTGCGGCTATGGGCTCATCCTTTATCGTATCTGCTTCTCCATTTCCGATGGCACGAGCAGCTAATTGGTTTCTGCTCCGTGTGCTCTGTCATAGGAAGATAGATTATGAATGTCCAATGGATCATTCCCAGTGATCTGCTCCTCCCTCCCTTCCCCATGCATGGTCCCATCTTCTCCTCATCTGCTTCCTACATACATTAAAGCCGTGTGTCCCAGCACAGCATGATATTATACTAGATTTGATAATGAATCTAGCTCAACTCGGTCATAGCCTTCTGTACTGGAAGCTACTTCTTAGCTGTGGGCTACAGGGCGAAAATTATAAGCCTGTGTCTGCATGTCATGACAGTGAGCAGGATTCACTGGGACATTGTTTTTGGAGACCAGGCTACAGTACTGGGCAGATAATGGAGGCAACCAAGGAGGTCTAATTGGAATGTATAACCCAAGATAATCAGCTATTCATCTGCATACACACACACACACACACACACACACACATGAAGAGGTCTTCTAGGTCAGGTTAGGCCTGATTTAGGATTAGCGTCAGTGTTATCTGTTTTTCTTTAATCGGACATAAATGTTTAACCACTGAGCGATCAAGAGCTTTTTTCTAATTGGATTTTAAGAATTACTTGACTTGTTTGTCCACAGGCAGCAGTACATTCAGCAGTAATATGCTCAAATGCAGCATGTTTTATAAGATACTAGTGCTGGACCAATTTTAAACCTGTTTGGAAAGGTAATGTGGTAATATTGGTGGCAGATTTCTTTCTGAAGCTGTAAGAGGGACCAGCAGTCATTGAGCTGCGGCAAGTGCAACCAGAACCCTGAAACTGCACCACCGCTTCTGCAGAAAGAGCTGTTCACCTGTTTAGTCAAAGTTTGATGAAACTCAACTCAGTATAGACCGGAACTGGAGGTTTTATCTTGAGTTGGGACTCGGGTCTGAAGATTGTGTTGGTTGATTAACAGACCTCTGAAATAGTCAACAATGTAAGTTACAAAAAAATAACCCTAGTAGATATAGAAGAAGAAAACTCCATTTATAAAATTCTCTTCTGAGCGACCTTCTTCGACCTAAACTGCACCTTGTAAAGCATATACTGAGTAGATTTCCAGGGTAACCTAAAGCACTGAACCTCAGATGTCTTCCACTAATGACACCTCCCAGTCTCATCCAGCCCCCATAATGAGGTGTACGATAGAGGGCAAGCTCCCTAAAGCAGTGGCCTTTTCCCAGCATGGGGCAGGCATGGTTTAGTGGATCCAGTCTAAAGACACCAGCAAGCATCCAGATTAGGCCCTGCATAAAGATAATGAGAAGATTCAGCCTCCGGTCCACTAATCACAGATCTATCACCCTGGAAAAGGCCAGCTACCGAGACTAAAATAAATTACAGATTAAAGCTAAAAGGACATCTGTTTGGAGGGAGATTTTGGTATTTAAGGGGAATTTTACTTTATGAAGGATCAGAAGGAGAATATATAGATTTAGTTTAGAAGATTGGATTTTGGTGCTGAGCTGAAGAAGTGACTGTACAAACTGGTGGAGTAAAGATGAAGGCTCAGGGGAAGAGAGCTTAATGCAACTCACATGGATGCTCATAAAGGCAGCCTTCATTAACAACGTGTGTGTGTGTGTGTGTGTGTGTGTGTGTGTGTGTGTGTGTGTGTGTGTGTGTGTGTGTGTACGTTTGCACATTTGCGTGACTGATGGTTACTGCTGAATTCTCGTCAGCTGTCTGCGGAACAATAAACCCTACAGAGAAATCGACAAAGCCTAAAAAAAGAAGACACAGACAGGCAAACACACACATGAGAGAACTTAACAGCGCTGCAGGAAATAACAAGAAAGCACCGCAGCTTTAAAGCTCACACATGCTCACACACGCACATTCAGCGTGTGCCACATTCAGTCACCGATATCTCATCCTGTCGGCTCCCCTGTATTCATCCTATTGGCTGTGGCCGAGGTATTATTCATCACCGGGCCCTGCTTGGGATCACAGTGCTCTAATGTGATGCGGGTGCGGACAGAGTGCCTGATTCTACCCCGAGCTTCCTTGACTGAAGGATTCAGGGCAGTCATCCTCCCAATCGAGGCACTGGTGACAAGCCGAATAAAACAAACGTTCAAGGAGAGCGAGGAATAAAAGTGTCATTCCAATTCCCTGTCGCTTTCTCTCTCTCTCCGTCATCTCTTTCAACTCTGATGTGAGTTGATGGGTAGTAGTGCTCCATCACCAGTCAGACAGCAGAGAGGATATTTCTGGTACAGATGATTCAGGAGGTGGACAGAGGACATATTTTCATCTGATTGGGATAAAAAAATGTTCACATGTGCGGATGCATGGATGATGATGATGCATTTTTCTCTATATGTTTGTATGTGTGCGTGTGTATCTTTACAGTGCTTTGTGGTCATTCTCTAAGGACTTAATGCAGGAGCCATTGCATTAGTGCTGTCTGCTTCCTGCCGTCTTCCTCCTAAATCATATTAGTACTGTGTTTTTGTCCAATCAGCTTTTACACACACGCACGCACGCAGGCCGCAATACAAAAGCTAGTTATTATGCGATTATTATCATGTACAATGTACTGTAGTCTGTACATCTTCCAGCCATCAGTATGACAGTAGCTTGTAATAGTTTGTATTGTTGCATGAAAGATTTAAGTGTGTATTGACTTCAGCGCTCAAACCTGCACTTAAATTACTTCGAATGACTGTCACGGGAGAATTGCCTCTAAATTGCTACAATCGAGCAACTACTTAGTTTCGATTTCATGATGAAATAGAGAAGATGGATAAGGAAATTACAAGATATTGGTCATTAACATTCCAGTCTTTCCGGAATATACTATTACATGCCTTTTCCATGTTTACATTTAAATGACTGAAAGTCTTTCAGTCCCACAGATGCTGACATTTCCATCTTTGATTTGTGTCTCCTCTGGCTAATCTGAACAGAAACGTGGTGTATGTTTACTGGTAGAAAGAAAAAGGGCTGGAGGATATGGCCAAAAAGTTTATTAAGATAAAACTTTCCATATCATTGGATGG